CACACACGCACACACACGCACATATACACATAAAGGTGTACACAACTCAAAATATTGACATACATGTACATGTACGTATACGGATGCATTTGTGTATATTCATACATACACTGGCCGTATCCAGAGATGCCTTCACGTGTTAGTATCAACTGCACCAGCCTTGTGCTTGTAACTCGCGGCTGTGCATGAACAACATTCAACACATGTTGCGGTCTACAGGTTTTAAGTCTGACAAATACAGTAGGACTGCCCAAGCGCAAGAGCGCCGAAGCCTGTCCATCTGCGAGAGGCAGTCGGAGGAGCGACGGTTTTTTTCCATCACCTGCGCGCTGTCAGATTCGAATTTGCATGCTGTCGTTCTTTCCCGAGGAGCTGCGTGCCAGGCTGGTCAAGCCCGGGCCTTACATTTAGTATGAAGAAATCTTGACTGGGGTGGATTCAGAGCGCGGCTCGTCCATGTTAATGTTTTTCTCGGCACGCAGGCTGCATTCCAAAGATTCCTCGGCAGTTGTGGGCAGCGAGGCAGCTGCGATCTTTGTCACCCGGTGAATATGCTGCCCGGTCCCTCACAGGATGCTTTAAAGAAGATCATGCTCACTCTCGAAGCAAAAGGAAGGTGCAGACTGGGCGTCAACTCTCCATGTTTCGACATGCCCCTGAAGTGGAAAGCAGTGGCCAGAACCCGTGACGAGGCGACTTCTGCTACAGAAGCAAGCCTTTCTACCAACGGAGGACGGATGACGCCTGGGAGCAGCATTGGGATCCTTTTCGGAAGGTGTAGATCTTACTTGGAGCAGGCAAGAGGCTATAAGACGGAAAGATAGCATGTGCGCGGACAGTTTAGGCTGGGAGCGACGGGCAACCTATCAGGTTTGCATACCAAGATGTTGCAACTGATGAGGCTGATTTGCGTGACGCGGCGTCGTTCGGTTTATATGTTGGATGGCGGCGGTTGTCGTTTAAAGAGCATCTCTTCAATCTGTCCAGCTCCCCGACAGGCTGAGACGAGGAGGCCTTTGCACGCCGACACCTGACGGTCACTGCAGCGTAGGCACCCAACCCCAATGCCTATGTGGCTTTATGGCCAAAGGCATAATCTGATCTCTTGTAGTTTCAAAAGGGCGACTGACCGAAGCAACATCGTGGTACTTGCGTTGTCTATGGTAGCCTTACGCCAGCTTTTTTTCTGTTTCCAGAGGTCGCATGTACATATCACTTCCTGGGGCGGTTTCATGCATGTCGCGGGTTCTCCATGGGCCCGCATTGCGACGCTCCTGAGCTTGGCATGCCCAGAAAAGACGGCTTTCCCGTGCTCGGTTTGAAGCCAGGATCCAAGTGCCCTCCAAAGAGCCCGTGCCAGGACTTTCTGGGTAGAGGCTACGACCTCCTCAAGCTGGTGGGAGGAGACGAGGCCTGCCGTCACAAAGGGGCACGCCGCTTCTGTCCGACCTATTGGCCTTGTGTCCGCCTTTGCCAGGTTGAGCTGAATTTCATGCTGGACACGGGCCTCACGACGTTCTCTCGCCAAGTTGACAGAGAGAATGTCACTGATGAAGTGATAGAATTCGAGGACAGACGACTTGGAAGAGTTGTAAGTTCATAGGATGGATCGTGACGGCATCAGTAAACTACTCTCCGTACCTTCCAGCGGCCTTCAGTTCCCAGGTGTAGTTTGGTGGTGGATTGTGTGGCTTGTGTGGCTTTTGTTTCATGTAAACAAAAGAAATCACTCGCTTCATTCCTTTCGCTGAGCTTCCATCTAGTCAGAGCAAAGAGAACAAAAGGCAGCGGAATCATTAAGGGAACAAGAACGGAATCACAGCTCCAGCTTTAGACGTAAATAACCCAACCTCTGTTTCCAAGTCTT